ATTAATAAAGTCTATCTATCTAACATACATCATTTTAAGGAAGCTAACAGCAGTCTACCCTGGCTTGTGCTCTGTCTTGTGGAGAGGGTGATTCTGTGTTGTGCTTTAACTGGGCTGGGAGACCAGATCCATGACAGGTCTGGTTCCAGTACTGTTTTAGGCTCCTGAAAAGGTTAGACTTTTTTAGTTCGGTAAGTCTGCTGTGGGGTTGTTCTATGGTTTTGTTCCTAAAATCATATCCTGCCCCTAGAACTACTTCTTATGTGAGGTTGGATACCCCAGGAGTGGCCAGTGTTTCTCCAGAAGGGGCAAGGCTGGTCACTACTTGTCATTGTTATTACAATAATGTAATAGTTGTACGATATTGTTGTTTAGAAACTGTTAACTCAGCTAGGATCATTTCCAGTTCTTCCGAAATAAAAGCGTTACATCTTCAAATTTAATTAGTTTTTCCTGTGATACTATTATATACCAATCATCATCATCTGATGAAGGTAAACCAGTAAATACACCAGTTATAAGTTAGGATAATAATAATAATGGATAAAAAAAAACATGCTTTGACCGCCTTTGACAACTTCATGGGTGCTGTAGTTTTAATTCTGCTAAAATGCTATAGGCTATATCAAGTAGGCAACTAAGGACAGAAAGAGTAATCACACAAAATAATCTCCAAAGCATTAAATTACTAATGTTTTGTTTTTGCACAACACTGATTATTTAGTGCTGTATTTTCAGTTTGAATAGCTAAATGTTAGAAGGGAATGGGGGTGGAGGGGTATTGAGCGCTGTGTGCATCATAGCCTGTCCCATGATCATGAAAGGGCTACATTGTCATTTATGTCCTACAGGATTCTGCTTGCAGCTTCTTAAAACTGAACTGCACAATGTTTCAGCTGAAAGAAATACATGCATCTACAATCAGGATGTTTTTTCCTGTACTGATCTCTTTGGAGTTCAAGTTTTGTTGATATAAGCATTGTGTGTGTTTGTACAGCTTTTCCAGTTACGCTATACTGGAACACACACACACACCATTTTAAGTCCCAATGCAAATGCAGAAAAACAAGCTACTAAAGCTGTAAAGTGAAGACACACACTTTTTAACATAATATTTAATTTAATGAGTCGTCTTTCTGTTAATTCAAAACTTGACATGGTCCTTTGAACATACAAAATAAATTACTTAAGCATTCAGCACTGTGGAAAAAAAGACAACAGGCAGATGTAAAAACTATCCATGAACAACTACAAAGAAAGGCTGATTTCCCTTAAACATCAAAAATGGTAAGCACGTATTGTAGCGAGGTACACCCAATGGTATTTCAAAGGGTTTTCTTGATGTACACAAATCATGTTCAGTAACTTACTCATAAAACTCTTAACATAAATCTTAGCCAAAAGCTTGTGAGGTCCCATAATGTATCCAATAACAATCAAAGAGAAAGTACCTCTACAGACAGATACTGTAGTTTCTACATTCTCAGTCAAACAGACATAACGTATGCACGTATTAGAGAGTATGGTTAACCAGAGGTTATGAAGAAGTTAAAAGAACATATTGACAATACTTAATAAGGTTCTTCACAGTGAATCTGCTATTTGGAGGTAAAACTAAAAATATTTACTGCAACTACTGTTATTATTAGCTGCATGCCTAATAATAACAAGTTAATCATTTGACGTTGGTTTACATAATAACATTGTTTTTGCCTAAAACCATAGAAAGCAAAAAGAGTAGACACTATGACATAATCTAAATGTGTAGATGTTTTGCAGCTGAGATGATACTCAAAAGCAGTCATTGGGAATTTGTAATGAATACATCTATGTTTTATCAGATATCCAAAAAAACCCATTAAAATAACTACAACGAAGTCCCTTTGTTTTTCCTATACAGATTCAGTGTGAGAGCACCTCAGAGGTACACAAATTCTTGTGGAGATGAGACAGTTAAGACATTAAAAAAGAGAATTCAAGACATTCCTTTTTTTCTAGTTCACGATACAATATTATCACCAGTTGTGCCTATTTTTACGCATCCCACCCGTATGGCTGCAGGTCAGAAAGCTTGAGAAGAGGACTTAGTTTATGAAAGCTTCATGCGTGGGTTCTAACTCTCCATGGAGTCCAGGAACTCTTCTTCAGTGATGAATTCCAGCTTCTTCAGGACTGTTTCTGAACTGGCTGCTGGGTAGTTTGCTACTGGGAAGTGGGACGTAGGGTGGTTGTAGGGGGCAGGGCCCTGGAAGGAACAGCAAAGGGTGCGAAGGAATGGCAACATCTGGGTGATGGAGGACAGGGAGCGTTGAGTGAGGAGGGGGAACTCCAAAGGCTCTGTGGAAGATTCCTCACTCAGCCCATTCAGTGTCTGGAATAACAGGACAGGACATCATAATCAGAGGGAGATGTGGTCATTTCACAAAACAAATCCTGAATGAATATGAATTTTGGACTTTGTATGATTGCTTGTAAGACAATATAAACAAAGTTCGGTTTAAGCTGAAGTTTATCAGCGTTGACACTGGGATATTCATTAAAATGATGCCATTTTCACAATAACACATCAGCTTCCTGAACCTCCTGCGCCAAAACTGGCTGATTATTTGACATTATCATCTACAATGGTGTGACTATTCACGACCAAGTGTCCCAGTATAAGCAAACAATTGACATGGGGAAAATGCCACACTGCTTTGTTTTGTGGAAACTACTAATGTCCTTTATATTCTATATCTGGAAGAGAGATGCTCAAACATTTCACACCATTATCATTTTAATAGTTTTTTTCAGGGAAAATAAATGTGTGCTTAAACTGACTTAAAGTAAGTTTGAGGTGTCTCCTGATCAAAAACAAAAGTATTTTCCATGGGTATATTATAACTAACAGTAATTCTCAGTATCTCATAAAAATGACAATTTAAGAATGTAGACTTTTAAATGGGAATAACAATCTAATCAAGTCAGAAATTTACAGTTTGAAATCATATAAACATTACCCCATATCGCTGTTGTATCCCCTCCAGTACTCTGACAACATGGGGTATGCATTCCTGCTCGCCTTCGATCAGCGCAGTCTCTGGGCCACTGTAGCAGTTCACATCCACCTCAGGGACAAATGCCCAACGATACCTGCACATGGAACAGATAGTTACACAGGAAAGGTGAAATAATATGCAGACAAAATAATGCAACACCACAACTTATGAATTGGGTTCTTACATCTGAAAGAGAGGTAGCCTCTCTGGAGGAAAGGCCAGGGACGTGTCCAAAAACTTGCATGCTGACAGGTACATGTCCAACTCTGTCTGAGAGAAATTCACTGGTCCATTTTTGTCAAGGGCTCCTCGCACCACTTTAGCCAATCTAGGTGGCACACAAGAAGACAAGAAAATAAGGTAAAATGTTTTCTTTGCATCAACAGAGTGTCAATGAAATCTGAATTTGTGAATAAAAGAAGTAACTCACTTTGAGACATCTTTATCTGCCTGCAGAGCTTTCTCTAGACGTACAAATATGCGAATCTGAAAAACAAGTAGATGTAGATGTAGTTGTACAGTATTGGGCCTATGTGTAAAGCCAGGATCTCAACAGATGGGATCTTACCAGCTCTGTGACCATGATTGGCCAAAGAGATGTGAGGTGCTGAGATGAAATCCGCAACAGGAGAACACGAAACATCAGGAACATATGGGCTGAAACAGCAGGGCTAGGGTTCATACGCAAAGCCTCAGTGAGACGCTCTGAAAGGAGTAGTGACGTGAACAAAGTCAATATGAATGTCTGGTTCTACCATTAAATTGAACACTGTTACATAAAGATCCATGTAAATATCCAGTACCATACCTTGGATGAGGGGCAGATACAGATGATACTGGTCCAGTTCTCCACTGAACATGGCAAAGGCCTGGCGCTTCAACAACATCGGTTTCTGGTCTACATTAGCAAACAGTTTCAGGGACCCACTCTGCATGCCTACAGCACAAATAAATACAGCAATATACATATGACATATGGACTGCACTGGTCTAAAACCTGAACTCAACCTGCCCATCTTTGAAAACCTGAAGGGATTTACCTCTGTTCTTTTTTTTTATAAATTATTTTATCCCACAGATTTCTTCTCACATTTAGAATACAGTTGTTATCTTTGCAGCACCACACACATTTCCTAGAGGTTGTACTCACTCATGAGGTCTTTAAACATGGTCTTCTCATGAGTCAGGAGGTGGTCAACAATGGATTTCCAACTATAGAGAACACAGTGGAGTCAGGCAGAGGACATTAGACACTGGCTATCTTT